GGCACCAACAAAAAATGGATAAGAAAAACTGTAGCACGAGGTGTTCCACCAAACTCAAAAGTTGCTGTGATAAAAATAGAATTTATTTCATTTCTGAAGATTCTACATGCAGTTATGACACCTTAAAGGACAGATGGAATATGGATCTGCCTTCATGTGATATCAGCGGAGATGTTGCATCATTTGATGAAAAGATCTATGTATTTTGTAAAAAAGGACTTAAAGTATTGAACAAATATAATTCATGGGAACGGATGATATCTGATTCGGAGGTAGAGATTGCTTCACCAACCACTTTAGTTTACCCGTTTATGGATCACATATATGCATTTCAACCAGAATCTGCAGGTCTTAGGCGTTGGGATGTACACAGTTCTCGGATGGAACAGGTCAGTAATATACCAGGACCTAAACCGGATGGAGCGTGCTTGTTTGTCGCTGATGAAAAAATTGTTGTCCTGAGTAAAACTTCATCCAGTAAAACACTCTATGCTTATGATGTGATTTACAAGCAATGGATGAAAATAGAAGAACTTCCGCAGCCAAATCCTGACAAAGTTAAACAAGCGACAACACATAATATATTAGGTGTACCCCTGAAAATGTGTGGTGTCTTCTCTGCTTGTAGTTTCAAGATGACATGAACGTTTTCAAGTTTTGTTAAAATGTTGCCTGAAAAAAAGTAGTCTATATGGGCTCAAATACTCTCCATATCTAACAAAAATTTGTAAATAAAGTAATTAACCATATCACTCATGTTACTCTGTGATTTGTTTATGTGGATGGATGCTAATTTCATTTGGAAATTTGGAGCTTTTGACATTTGGTAGAAATCGAAAAAATACCAAATTTGCTTATCTTAACTGTTCTCATTACTTTCGTTCAACTGCAATAAATCTGTCACTTTGAGTTCTGTTCTGACCAGGCCCATCTAACTTTTGATAATTGAACAAAAAGTGTTCATTTGACTTGCTAAATTGTTGTAGTTGTGAAAAAAAATATGTCCTAAGCGACTATTGTTCCAATCAATTTCATAGTTTGAGCACCTAATGCTGCTAGAGAGCTACAAGTTGAAATTTTTGGTACCAAGAATTTTACCTCAAAGGGCTTCATTTCCATATATTTGGGCATTGCCTTCTTCCTGTAAATGTAGTAATATAATAAATGGTAATTTTTGACAGAAAACATTTTCTGTTGCATTTCTTCAGTCTGGGCCTGAAATTTCCTAGTGATATGGTTATGGTTTACTTACATTGGACTTTTATGTCATAATAGCTGATTTCATATTACAATTATTTTCAATAAATTCAATGAGAATAACATGCAATTGTGCTTTTTACATTATTTGTAAAAGTTCATGGCTTCAGTTTCATTTTTATCACAGCTTATTGGACCTTCAATCCAAACAAGACTATTTGATAAGCAAGATATTTTTTGGCAGGCATTGGAATCTCTCTGGTTCGATATTGCATACCCATTGCTTCTTAGAGTAGATGGTGAGCTTGGAGCTTGAACCTGAGGGGTAAAATATATTTCTAGTAAGTTTTGAAAAAATAATCTTGCCTTTTATTACATCAGGTAATCAGTATTTGCAGCCTATGTGAGACAAAATTTTATTATATTTCCCCCGTTAAAATTTTGTACTTGAAATCTAGGAGTCTAAATTGAATTCTCAAACTACAACAAAAATTGGTAAAGTTTTTGCAATTAAAAGTATGTCATTCAAGGACACAAAATTTAGATGACCCAAAATAAGTAGAGTGAATTTTTATATTTATTCAGAGGGAGACAAAAGTTTGATAAGCATTATTCATATGGCGTACCACAGACTCTCATCTGGTTACCAGCCCATGTCGGGTATGAAAATAGGTATTTGTTTTGGTTACATAGACTTGACAATGGAAGAAGGCATAATCAATCAGCCTTCACCCAAACACTCCCTACAATGGCGAAGAGTCCAGCAACCCTCATGCACATATTTACTCCCCATGGGTTGCACATCTGTACAGGGTAAGCAGAGGTGTGATGCACCAACTGCATAAAGATGATGATGTAACACACTGGTTATATCTTTCTTTCTCTATCAGCGTTGTCTACTATACTACCTACGACTGATTTTATACTTAACAATCTCCTTGAGAATCGTCATATAGTTCAGCCAAATGTCATTTATTTGACTGGCTGTTAAAAATCCATAGGAACTGAATAATACAGGGTGTCCATAAAATCCCTCCACAATTTCAGTCATGGTATGAAGTAAGTTCCCAATTTTTTTTGTTTTTTTAATCAGTAATTGTTTAATTATTTTTACTTCATTCGATGCATCTGTGAGGGCCAAAACAATATATGGTATCGATAAATTCCCTTTGCAACTTTATAAAATTTTAACACTTTATGGACCCCCTATACAGATACAGAAAAGAATTTTGGTGAATTTTTAATCAGAAAATCATTTGCGATACTCTGAAGTAGATTTGCTGATGGAAATTGATCCAGCTTAATGAGTTTTATCAACTCATCCATGTTTTCACTTCTCGTGATAAGGATAGGATATACATATTTATCCCGGGGGAGAGGAAAGCTGATAAAACGGCTTATCAATATGGCGAAGCACGGCCTCTCGTCCGGTTACCATTCCAAGTCGCGAATGGGATTAGTTATATTGTTTGTTTTCAGAAGCATGGACTTGGTGGTGGAGGAAGCCGTAACCGACCAGCGGATACGTGAACCACCCAACGACGACGAGGAGTCCTGCAATCCTCTCGCACATAACCATCCCTGCATGGGATTCGAACCTGCGATTCGAACCTGCGAACCCACGCAGAGTAATGAGAGGTGCGGTGGCGAGCGTATTCCTAAAGCTTAGCCCGTTGCGCCACACCGCCGCTCCCTAAGTACTGCCTGCCATGCAGAAGATCACTCATGACCACTAAGTAACAATCGAAAAGATTTTTTGTGGTATCCCAGTGTCATTCTGAATAAGGATCCGGATAACAAGCTGGTGATGCATTCAAAAGTGACATGTTTTCATTCCCCTGCAATTGCCCCTACACACAAAAATTGAAATGAGATTCTCAAAGTATCTGATAACTCACCCAAAAATTATATATATTTGATACAGGGATAGTTTGAAACATTTCAAACATAAAAATAATGATCATGCATGGCAATTCAGAGACAATTAAAATAATAAGATCTTTCATTAAGAAACACACAATGAATGAACTCGTAAAGAGAATAAAACATGAATAAAGTTTAAAACGCATTACAAGTATCCTTTAACATGCGTTGAGTCATCTAAATTAAATGGCTCGACTATTCACAAGAGAAACTTGACTTGAGACTGAAGATAATTTTGAATGAGTGTTTGAAATTGCAAAAAAATATATGAATTGTCATGTCGATTAATGTTGAATTGGGAAAATACAAAATCATCAAGCAAATTCAACATTAACAATAAAAGCAGAATTACTAATTACTCTGCGTGGGTTCGCAGGTTCGAATCCCATGCAGGGATGGTTATGTGCGAGAGGATTGCTGGACTCCTCGCCGTCGTTGGGTGGTTCACGTAACCGCTGGTCGGTTACGGCTTCCTCCACCACCAAGTCCATGCTTCCGAAAACAAATAATACAGTGAAAACTAATCCCATACCCGACTTGGAATGGTAACCGGACGAGAGGCCGTGGTTCGCCATATGGATAAGCCGTCTTATCGGCTTTCCTCTCCCCCGGGATAAATATGTAAATCCTATCCTATAAAATCCTAGTCCGGTTTACAAAGTAATAATGGTTCAATATGGTGGAAGATTATTGATGTCAAAATTCATCCATATTGTATATGCCACTATTACTCAAACTAACAGTGACTCGGCTTGACATGTGGAAATCAGAATTGCTGTGACCCAACCCAAACTTTAAAATTTGACTTGACTCGGATGGCTTGACTCGGCGGTGTGCCGCATCCGGCTAAGTGTTAGAAATCCGGTACCTAGGGTGGTTCACGTAAGCGCTGGTCGGTTGCGGTCATCAAGTCCATGCATTTGAAACAATTAACTGGATATCTATTCCCATACCTGACTTGTGACTCACAGGTGAAACGAATATATTCTAAATTTAAAAATTGCTGGGACACGGAAATCAACTTGAGTTGTGACCGAGGGATTGGGGAATTGTAACCAACTAAGGATAAAATATTAGGAATGAGTTGATGTTCATGAACAAACAAAAACACTGTGCCAGGGAGTGTAACCTATAGTAAATACTGTGATTGAAATCTCTCTAGCAAATTCAAAAGTCACAATTTCCGAAACTAATGACAGGGAAATGAGCAATACCGAAAACAAAACCACTTTGTTTCTTCTTGGCAATAATTAGACATCCTTTTGGCATTCAAAATATATATAAAATCCTTATTTTTGAAGTCAATTGCACATAATAATAAATATGTACATACAGGTAATTGAATAACTTAATTAATTGATTAATGCGATGGCACTACCCTGGCTTGCAATATTAATAACCACTGAAAGTATAATTAGAAGGTATAGCAAGAAGAAATATTTCTAAAATAGCACAATATAATGTAGAACAATATTTTCAATTGCTATAATAATCTATGTATAATAAAATATTCCATGTATAGGTAAAGTTGTTTTATTGTTGCCACATTACCATATTTGAAAAAAAAAATTAAAATTGGCATCGCGTTATTCTAAAGTGTTTAGGATACAAGGATGAAGTATAATTTTAATTGCAGACTAGGTAAATATAAACAAAGTCAGAAAATTTCACAAGTACATTTCTTGTCTTTCTTTATACACTGACTTCATAAATCCAAGTATTTTACTAATTTCAATTAGAGGTCATTAGTATAAAGTTGAAGTTTAGAAATGTAGTCAATTTACTTGTAAAATTGCACTGAAAGTCTTCAAATGTGGGGGATTACTGTAATTATTATCTATATTATTGCGTTGTTGGAGATGGCTCTAATTAGACTTTTGCTAATGGTTTCAAATATTGATGATTTGTCTCATTTCCTTCACTTTCTCAGCATGGGTTGGAAAGAAAGTAAACCCATCAACAGACATTTGCTGATGCGGTGATATCCCATCTTTGATTCCTGCGTTTTCAACAATTTCAAGATTCTTGTATTCCTTGAGGAAAAATATGAAAAATTAAATTTTTTTAATGATCTTCATAAGGTGTCTGACACAATTCCCACCCACAGCCGAGGTATGAAGATTTGATAACCGTGCACATTTGACCTACACTGTGTGATGTTGAATACTGCATAATACAGGCATGAACAACTACTTTTCTAAGTGGGCCAGTTACAGATAATAAACTTGGTTATTGATTTGGAGGTTCAAAACTTAGTATGAAACTATGAATAAAAATAGTTTATTTACAGTTATTCCATCAGCTACGCTATAATTTATAAAAAAAAATAAGAAGCAGCAACAAATGAGGTCATTATAGCATTATTTTCATCAATATTTTCAACGAAAATTTATATTCATAAAAACTATACTCGTAATATCGGCAGGCACAAGTGAGCAGGATGAAACACTTCGTTGGGCTGAATCTGGCCTTAATTTGCCCACCCCTGGCATAATGTGGGCAGTTGGCATATTAAATGGTGTTTTTTGCATAGGAACGTTAAATTATCCCAAGAGGGTTGCTCGAGCTTTTGGAATGTTCATTGGAGTGTCGCTCCACCAAAAAGGTTGATAATCACTGGTCTACACTGCTACACAAGGGGATGAAATTTACTTTTGGTGTTTGCAAATGGGTAACAAGAGGTTGTAATTCTGTTCTAAGTCAAACATACCCTTTCCACCGTTGGCACAGCCCATTTGAATTTTGTTTCAACATCGGTGGGTAGACCAGTAGCTCTTCTATAATATCTGTCATGGATTCTGCATTTTCTTAAAGCATACAGTGCGCATGCAAGAGCATAACATCCCCAGTTTGATGTGCCTGAAAAATATATGACACCAAATTTAAAGATAATAATGATCGGCTCAGCGTTTAGCACATTGAGCTAGGCATTAGGAATGCTTTTAATTGCACTTCTGATTACTCTACGGATGTTCGTAGGTTCAAATCTCATCGGGAATAACTACCGGTATGTGCGTCAAAAAGTGATTGGTTACTGCTACTTCTACAATCAATCCATGAATCTGAACAAAGAATCTGTGACTCTGCCTGACATTAAGATTAGCCATATTATAAACTATTTAAGAAATTCAATCCTGTGTTCACCAAATAATTTTATACAGTGATGATATTTTTAATTCAATTTGATAACCAGTTCCATTTGTATGCATACATATATATTCCAGAACATTCATTTATCAAGCCAGAGTTTGGTTGTAAAATGATCATACTTCGAGTTTTATATAAATTGTTTGTACAATCCCCTAATGCCTGCTAAATTAGGTAGTTATTTCAGCTTACTTTAAACTTTTTGTCCAATAAATATCAGTGTGATGGACAGAGCTGATGTAGTCAGCTAATCTGACTTAAAAGAACTGAAAATTCAATTTAATCTCAGTTTCCAAAAATTGTACGTTTTTTCAAAATGCCAAATAAAATGTTTAAGATTTATTTAAGACAGATTACAGACTTAAAATGAAGCAATGTAAAAGAAATGGTATGAATGCCACATTTATGCCATGATACTTTGGTATTTGTTGACTTTGTGATCAATTTAAAAAAGAATTTTAGAGTATTAAACATTAACTGATATTTAGTCCAAATTAATCTTAGTGCTTGCAAAAAAATATATGTTTTACAAAATGAAGATAAAAAGTATGAAAAAAATGTACCTTTCGAGAGGTTTCAGATTTATTTAAGTTTATTAGCAGACTCAAAATTAAACAATGTAAAAGGAGTCAGATGAATACCTCATTCATGCTCCAATACTCAGGTATCTGTTGACTTTTGTATTGAACATTAACTAGTATTTATTTAAGGCACATGATACCGCTCAAAAACATGAAATTTAAAAAGACACACTGTTTCAAGTATAGCAGAAGATAAACTGTGACTATTATGTTTGGGCCAAGTATGTTTAAAAATACACAATGTTTCAAGTATAGCAGAAGATAAACTGTGACTATTATGTTTGGTCCAAGTATGATGTAACATTCACAGAAGGAACATGAATCACCAAACCTAATAGACAGAGCACTTTTTACTGTATCTTTGGCCAAACTAAAATCGGGGAAAATATTGCCAACGTTCATTGATATCCGGATTAGGTTTCTATGACGTAAGAGTAATTGAAGCCTCACAGCTGATAGAGTTGGGACAGAATAGTATTTCTCAAATACAGGTAGATTTGTTTGATGGCGAATAATGTATGTCATAGGATTTTCCTATTTACCACAGAGAAGAAGAAAGCCGATTAGAAGACTTGTTCATATGGTTTGCCACAGTTTTATCAGAAAATGTCAAACCAAAAATTGGAGTTTTATATTCATTCAGTGAATGCCTGTATATAGCTTTGTTTGTTAGAGTGAAAGCAATAAAACTAATAACATTATTCAATTTTCATAGATTGTTGAACACAGTAAATACCAACTTGTTAACATTACCAGATAAAAATGGAGGCAAAAAAGAAAAGAATTTCTTCTTCAAATCAAGTCTGTATATCAAATGATTTCGCAATGAAAGCTTTTGAGAAACTGAATGAATATCGACTCACAAACGGCTTAATATGTGATTTCCAAATCAGACTTCTTGGAGTGCCAGAAACATTCAAAGCTCACAAAACTGTTTTAGCAACAAGATCCCCGTTCTTCAGAAAGTTTTTTGATCAATATAGCAACACAGACATGATTAAAATAGAACATATAGAAAAGGTTGCATTAGAAGAAGCATTAGGATTCATGTATACTGGGAAAATTAATGTGGGTTTTGGAACAATGAAAGCAGTTCTGGCAGTTGCAAAGTTGTTGCAATTGAATGAAATATTCACTTTGCATAATGATTTTTCATTGGCTAATTTGTCTGCCAGCAATTGTCTTTCCGTAAAATTCATTTTGGAAAAATACGATTGTGAAAAAGTCATGGAGGAAGTGGATAACGTCATCATGAAATGTTTGGATACTGTCGTCAATGATAAAGATTTCAGACAAATTAGAAGAAGAGATTTGATAATGTATGTCAATCAAACTTCAAAAACAACTTTAATTTGGAAAGCAATAACAGTTTGGGCATCGTCCGATTTTGCCACTCGAAAGGATATTTTTCCAGAAGTTCTGGCATCTTTGGACTTGACAAAATTTACATCTGATGAGCTTGAGAACATGATGGGAAATAAATTAGTCAATGTTTCACGAAAGAATGTTGAGTTAATCGCTACAGAAATGTTCCGTAGACTTGCTTCTGGGCTTGCCACGTTTAACACCAAACACTGGATGTCTATGAAAAGTTTGTTTAAAACTTACGGAATGAAAGATTTTGAAATCAAAGTTTTAAAATTTGCAGTGAATAACCTCGGACAAAATTCAGAAACAAGAGAATTTTGCAGAATCGAAAAAGAAGATATGATTTTTTTCTTGCAGTCAATTCCTGTCACTAAAGATAGTGAAAATACAGTATGGAATACATTTATCAATTGGACGAAAAATGAAACCGCACGACAGAAATGTTTCACAGAATTATTCAAATTGCTTAAAATTGAGAACTTTAGTCTTGATTTTACGAAAAACATCATCAAGAATGAACCATTAGTGGCAACAAATAATGACTGTCTAAAACTTGTTATTGATTCTCTTTGTGATCACGTAGATGCCAAATAAAAGTAAGTAATGGTAGTTGTTTAAAAATACTATATTGTGCACTAGCACATTTAACGAAAACTTGCCAATATTGCAAAAAATTGTCGTTGATATTCAAACAATATTATAATGCCTTTTGTGTACTGTGACGTTGTATTTCCACATTAAAACTTACTGTTATATTCCAAAATACTTGATATGATATTTATGTGTATATTAAAAAAACCTTTCATTTATTTATTCAAGTTTCTTTAAAGAGAATTTGTTCAAGATAAGGGGCATTCGCACTTATTCAAAAGTGAAAGAGATTCATCACTTAGCAAAGTAATAGAGCGGCTACTGAAATTCCATGAGTTTGAGAAACAATAATTTCTGATCTAATGTCCACACTAAATAAGTTACTGTAGTTGAAATTAAAGAACCTCTTGTCTATTTAATCAAGTTTCTTTAAAAAAAGGATTTGTTCAAGATAAGGCCATGCACACTCATTCAAAAGTGAAGAGATTCATCATTAAGCAAAGTAATAAGTGAATACTGAAATTTCATGATGTTGAGAAACAATAATTTCTGATTTAATGTCCAAACTAAATAAGTCAGTTGAAATTAATAATTTAAGATGCAGTGTGATATTGATCATATATGTTACAAATCTTTAGCAGTAGATGTGTTTATTCAATAGTGGGTATGCTGAAAGTGTATTACCTCTAATTCGGTATTCATACTTTTTTAGCTAGGCGATTTTGTAATGAAATCGAAACCTTCCGTATTTGCTCGTTTTGTAGCCTAACCCATATTTTTTTAACCAAACTCACTAACTGGGCCCTTATTCAAACCGGCCCTTATTCAAGCATGGGCGCTTGTTATTTTTAAAAAAAATGATAAACAAAAATTACGGTGATGTTTGTCAAGTCACATATATATAAGTTCATTCGTTACAATAATTAATATATTGTCCTTTCCAGTTCTCAAGTATGATTTGAACGAGAATAACGAAAATTCTGACTTTTTCTACGCACCGCAGGTACAAATCCGCAAAAGAAGAAAAGTTTTGCGACTTCCTATCAATATTGAAATAACGCACTTGGGCGTCGCGACACCCAGTTTGAGATCCACGATGTTACCTAATCAATGCTATCTAGTATGTAATTGGACGCCTAAGGCGTGAGTGCTATCTACCAGCGCTTAAAATTCAACATCATTGTGACAAAAGCGCTTCTTATTTCCTATTGTTCTCTACCACTGAAAAATCAAGCTTTTACATCGGGCGGGTATTCAAGCACCGGCCCCTATTTATTTTTATGTTCTGTTCACACGGGCGGCTATTCAAACAGGCCCTTAATCAAAATCGGGCGGTAAAACGAGCATATACGGTAAGTCGAATTTGAAAGAAATAGCAAATATCGTGATTTGCTGTAAAATAAAAATAAGCAATTCAGAATGTTGAAAAATGAACCAGTCCCCAGTGGTTCTCAACCTTTTTCTCAAGCGACCCAAATTTCAAAAAATAAATTTTGTAAAATCTCGTGACCCAAGGATATGCTCAAATACTAAACGTATGGAACTTTCATGAGCAAAATTAAATGAATAATATAAAAGTCAATTTTATATAACATATATTTCCCCCAGAAATTAATCTAATGTGAGAAAACTGAGCGTTTTTGCCATCAGCATCTTTTGAAATCGACGCGTGGCTTTACTTAGGGTTAGGCCATAATTTTATTCCAATTTCCTTTTTACTTCTATTACAAGTTCGGGGACTAGCCAAGTGACTCCTGTAGTATATTTACCCGAAATTATGGCCTAACCGTAACCTGGTACGCATACTCGTTCAGGTGTCCACCATTTTGGTTCACATACTACAGTAGACACAAATTTACTATAAAATAAAACTTGTATGTTTTTACCCAATAAAATTTTCAGGCAACGCAGTTAAGAGTCGAGACCCATGAAGAACAAAAAGAATCAAGGTCGAACCGAAAAAAAAGCTAAAGATTAAGAAGAAAGTATATTGACCACAAGAATTTGCTAGGGTTAGAGTGTTCAATTATTGCAAGATCACCAACCTTTTTGGCAGGCTTTGAATCTCTGCCCTCTCTTTGTATGGCAATTTCGGAACATTTATAACATGAGGGTTCGGTAAATTAGAATTTAATATTAGGATTGTTCACTCCCATTTATAAAATCTATCAATTCGCCAATGGCAAACGTTATAAGTTTATTAATATGGTGTGACAAATAATTTTTATTTATTTATTTTTTTTTAACTACCCTTATGTAATTTATAACTTCTGTATGGTTGTGTGTGTGGGTGCGTGTGATCGTGTGTGAAATATTTCCATTATTTTAGGTGAGTGAACCCGTACCCCTTCTTCTTGGCAAAACCTTCCATCTTGTATACATTCTGTACGTTTTAAACCTTATCTAAGGTTTTGTTTGCT